TTAGAGCACGCCCTAAATAAATATTTGAAACATTCCTGGCTATTTTGGATTTTGTGTAGGTTGCTTATAATTAATTATTTAAGGTGGACAAATAATTTACGCAATAAAAAATCGAGATTGTTTTAATATTAATCCTCCGTCACCCATGAAGGATGAAGGTTTAAAGTTCAAAGTATAAACCTTAATATCGTCTAAATGGTTATATTTATGAAAAAAATATAAGAGACTTTTTTTGTAGATCGTTAAATTTTCTACAAAAATATGTATTGATTATTTTATAATTTTTTATAGTCGATATGATACAAAATTCATAAGAAGCAAAAACAAGTTTTATAAAATTTATCAAACTTTAACATTGAATATCTTTTGAACGGTTGAATTTATGAAAAAATGATAAGAGATCTTTTTTGTAGAGCGGCAAATTTACTACAGAAAATCTATGTGGCGCAATGCTGTATTACTGTTTGTTAGATAGTTATAAATTTTTTTTATCTTACTAAATGAAAAATAAAAAATTGCGATGAGCGACCTGTTAATATTAATATTAAGGGCTAAAAATTTAACAGATATCTCTTATTTTACCTTCTTGGAAGTATATATGCTATTCGTGAAATGAAAAAGAAAGTTGCCCCAAAATGACACACTCTAAGATATATATATATATATATATATATATATATATATATATATATATATAGTTGCTTTTAGAAAAAATATGTAAATGCGTGTTGCAAATTACATATTTTTTCTTAAAGGAACTATGCTTTTTTTTATACCAATTGATTTTTCTCATTATTCTGTGCATAAAAGTATTAAGGTAACATTACCGAAAACTTAATGTTTTACAAGATATTTTGTATTTTATGTCAAAATACTAGAACTTTCAAACCTCATAATTCCCAAAGTTCTTAACGAAAAAATACTTTATTATAGTGTTTTGAAAAGCTCTCGAGATTAGCTACAAGAATATGCATTGAAAAATAGGGGTTTTCATTTAAGAAATTAAAGGTGTCGTTCACGTGAGCTTTAAACGACCATCCAAGGTCAAACCAATGACCACTATCTTATGTCCCCCTTTGAACCAAACAACTTTTGTCTGAAACGTTTTTCCGTATGTTTCATATATTTTAAAATATTTGCCTGC